GAATTGCCTGGTCTCATTTCCCTTGACTTCCCACCCCCATAATCATTCTTCTGTAGTGGCTGCCATGACTTGCTGCAGCCATGATGGAGGGCATGAGGTGAGGAGGAAAAGAATCACCATGGCACAATGAGAATCCTGTCTGCCACAGTCTCATCCCAGGTCACACAGAAACTCAGCACCCACCGACTCTCTTTATCTCAAAGGGGAAGTTGAGACTCTGCTACCACAATGTAAATTCTGTTTGGTAATACGTACATAACCAGATATAATGGTTATTGTTTCATTAGTCATTAGAGTAACTATAATATGCCATCTGACTAATGGTACTCAATCTTTCTGATGATTTTTAGAGAATTTTATCATGTTGAAGCATAATAAGCTCAAGCAGGACTCTTTCAAATTGTAACATGGCTCAGAAATGTTGTCAAACACACTCATTATCTCTATATAACATGCCATATAGTAGGTTGGATCAAACAAAAGTGGCATTTTGGCAGATCTCATATGGTCAATTATTGGCTATTTCATATGACTCATTTAATGTTTGTTTGTTAATATCTATTTTTACCCTAGAATGTAAGTGCTATGGGCACAGTGGCTTTATGTTACTGCTGTGTCCCTCCTGTGCATGGAACAGTATCCAACACAGAGAAGACATCCAAAAACACTCCCTGAATAAATGAATAAGTGAATTCTGCTGACACTTAATTAAAGCCCACTATGTGCCAGGCACTATGCTCAGATGAAGAATATAACAATGAAAAAGACTATCTCAAAGCGTTTTAAGTTTTCTTGAGAGAAAGAGACTTAAATCAGCAGCTACAAACTCACAGGCAAACACTGTGATGAGAGTGACACAGGATAGCATGAGAACACAGAGATGGGAAGTCAGCCTAGATTTGGTTGGAATGGAGAATGGGTTCCCAGTCAATAGTGGTGTCAATATTGACATCTGAAGAGTAAATGAGAATTGAGAGATGAAAGGAGAATCTGAAATAGTTATAAAATATAGCCAGATTTCTGACATCAGACATGCTCATGGGTGGTTCCACCAATCACAGAAAAATGGGGACATTAACCAATTATTTATAAGGTTGACTGAATAAACCAAAGGAAATTATTTGGTTGTTACTATCAGAGTAGATTATTTGGATCCCCCAATCTCTGAAATATTAAAATAAAACCGAAGGTATGAAAACAGGCAAAGTAATGGGGTAAACAAATAAGCAAGAGGACTGTTATGGATGCCAAGCACTGGAGTGGCACCTTGGCTGAAGTGCGGTTTTATTTTGACTTCTTGTTTACCTTGCACTACATGTGACAGGAACTGGTGTTTGACCCATTGCTTGTCTATTTATTGTCTTTACATTTAATGACTATCTTTGCCTATTCCTTTCATTCCAAACAATTTGGGAATACAGAAATTTTCTGAGTACCATGAGAAAATCCTCCCTACTGCTAGCATTTGGTGTTCCAGATGTATGAAATAGATAGAATCCCATCTCTGGGTAGAAGAAACTTTACAGTCTATAGTGGAACGCATTACTGATATTGCCAAGAAGTTAAAGATCATTTCAGGCTCCACCACAATCACTCAGGGAAGACAGCATAATCTTGGAGGTCTTGGGGTTACACAAAGAGGACCCTCTAGAATATGGTTGCATTGAAACAGAAACCAGAAAGTCCTGAAAGAAAGAAGCACTTTGCCATGTATCTCCCAAGTGCAGAATATTTCTCTTCAGACTGCAATATTTCCCTCCCCTCTTCCAGGCAGTTGGGGGGAAAGATTGCATCCTCTCTGGCTTCAAATCCTACTATGATTTCCTCATCATGGCTATCCCAGCCTGGCAAAGAAAACAGCTACTGTCCCAGCAACCTTGCATTCCTTCCAAGTCGGTCCTTGGAAGGACCTAGAATGACCGGAATGGCATCCAACAGTATAAAAAGCAGCTTCTCCACAGAGCAGCTTCAGCCCCGGCTGAGCTGTTGGGAATGCAATGCTACAGACTGTGGCGCTTCTATTGTATGAGC